CACCGGCGCGTCTGGAGCGTCGATTTTGCCTAGGGAGGACACCCATTTTGTTACGACGTCGCGCGCGAGTAAATCGCATATGATTTCAGCAACCGACACCTTCATATTGTTTGAGTTTTTAGCGCCGACAGGCAGCTTAGAAAAGTATTTAAAAATTTTCATGTTAGAAAATTATACTAGAAATATCTATTCATTTTGATAATGTTGAAGCAATTGGCTACTACCAAAAACCTACTATTATGCATGATGTGTAGGAACTTCATGATTTGCCAACTTTTTATAGGGAGTTCATTAAAGAAATTAAGTGTCACAGTGGCTTTAATTACCAACTATCTAACGAAATGTGACTTATTGTGACTCATCACAGGTATTATCAGAGTGTTAAACCAAGAAATACATCATATTACATTGTTTAGTGAGAAATTAACTTAAGTTGAGTAGAAATATTCAAACAATAGTAATGAGTTTTATGTTTTTATGCAAGCTCTATGCAAATAGTAGTTAATTGCTTCAACATTATGCATAACACCATTTACAATCTTTATAGGATTTGTTGTGTCTGATTATGAAATATCTATTAATTTTGATAATGTTAAAGTACTTAACTACCACCAAAAACCTACTATTATGCATAATGTGTAGAAATTTCATGATTTGGTAACTTTTTTACAGGCAGTTCATTAAGAAATTAAGTGTCACAATGGCTTTAATTACCAACTATCTAACGAAAGGCTTATTGTGACTCAACACAGGTATTATTGCAGTGTTAAACCAAGAAAGACATCATATTACAATCTTTAGTGAGAAATTAAATTAAGCTAAGTAGCAATATTCAAAATATAGTAAAGAGTTCTATGTTGTTATGCAAGCTCTATGCGATTGGCAATATATTTTATTGCCTAAAAATTTTGAATTTTTGTGTGACTATCAAGCTCTGAAATATTTGGGTTGCCAATAGAAGTTGGGTTCTAAACTATTTGAAGGGGTTGAGTCTTTATAAGAGAACACTTTTGTCCACAAGCACCATGCTAGCACTAAGAATAATAAAGTTGATGCTTCAAGTATAGTTTTCATGATTTTGAATTCAATGCGAGTTAACATGAATGATTTTGATCATATAAATAGTAGTATGAAACTTGGAAGGACTGTGGTGAGATTTATCGAGTCATAAATAAAAACTCATCTATGTTTAGTAAAAATGATAAACTTAATAAAAATTACATATTTAACGACATTGATTTTTGCATTTCTAATTCATTTTTAAGAGACTTCTTAGATTTTATAACTACACGTTAGCATTGTTTCTGTGCCTTTTGGGTAAGATAAGACAAACAATTACTGAAGATGGATATTACGCCCAACATAAAATAAAGACGCAACACATTTTCTCACGAGTACGAAACATACCACAGTCAAAAGCGACTTTGCGAGTTCCATTGGCGAATGTTAATATGGATTTTGAGTTCGATCTATATCGAATTTTAAGAGAATTATTAAATTTTTGTAATGATAATAAATCATTTCATACCATAAAATTTTTTATGCATCTTATATACAATATATGTATATATTTTTTAATGAGATGATTAAATTATATGGGTTACCTAAAACCTGTGTATGATCAGGATATAAAATTTTTTAAACTCCTTGGACAAAAATGGAACACAACTTAACTTATTGATTGCTTATAACCAACAAACTAGTTGGCAAACTAAAATATTATATATGAGTTTGCACGATCTATTAAATTGACTAGTAAAAGATCATACAGCTAAGTGATTTCATAATATCTATGCAAAATTTGAATATTCATCAATCAATAATTGATCCATTATCATAACACTTTTTGAAATTATCACAGAATTTCAACCTAAAATCCAATAAATCTTGTTGAGCCCCCTATCAAGTATAGGTTCAATGCATATGCAGCAATCATTAATATAATATATGCATGAATTACATGATATTATCTGTAGAAAAATGGCTAATAAATATGACAATTATAAGCTTTCTATTAATATTAATAAAAGGTATGTGAAGTTTAAACTTGATGATAAAGTAATTGTGGATTTAATTTCAAAAAGGCTTCCTGCATGAAAATTTAAGAAATTCCCAATGAAAAAGGTAGAGAAATTTAAATCTTATAACGCACAAACGTATACAAATTAAAAATTTCATAAACTTAATCCAAATTTCAATTCATCAAATCTGTCCTTATTTCATAAACTCGCTAATAATACAAAATGTTATTCTTCTCCTTACATCTCCTTCTTGGGACTTCACATCCAATTTTCTATTTAAAAAAAGAAAATCTACATAGTTAATTTCTAAAGCTCTTTTAAATGATGAGATTGTATCCACTATTAATGGTTCACTCCAAAAATATCCAGTATACTTACGTGTAAACACATTTGCGATGAGTAATAGCTTAATTTGCACAAATCACAACAATAAATACCCAAATTTAGTTGATGAAGACCAAATGCTAAATTTCTCAAAACCAATTTTATCCAGTTCAATCAGATTTGATAAAAACTACATGTTCATGCTCGACAAAAACATCAAACAAATAAGGAAATGCATTGAGCTAAGCTAGCTTAATTATCTTGTACTTAATTTGCAGTTTTCAACTTATAAAAACCAATAACAAAGGCGGGTAAAGTAAATTTGAATTCAAAAAATCAATGATTTCAGTTTTAATCTTATATGCATGATGGACAAGTGATTCATTCAAATGTTAGAGTGCAACGACAAAATTATGGGGGAAGTCATCTCCCTATGCTTGAGGCTTGACTTGTCTTTATTTTTGCTAACTATTCTTCTAATTTATTTTCAATAATTTGGTAATAATTTTGCTAGAATTCTTAGTTTCTCTAAAATTTTGATTGCAGTGAAAGAAATTTAATTGCTCATTGATTTTGTATTGTACATATTTCTCATTAGTAATCTTCAGATTTGAACAATTCTAATTTTTATATTTTATGGCTTGCACCTAAAGAAGGTGGGTTTTTTTATTTATTTATTGGTCTTTTGATTCACAAATACAAATTTTCATGCATTGCATGATTATGATTCCATTAGTCAACCTAAACACTAAACTATTTTTCACTAAAAGAAACAACAAATAAAATTCTAGAAAATGGATGCATGCATGTCCTCCTTACCATGTTCTATGAACATAAAAGTGCTAGAACGAAAAAACTGGATTCGATCGATTCACAAATCAAACCACACTGCACAAAACACACCGATTCAAGAGACCTAGAACAAAAATTAAACAGAAAAAACACAACACAAAAAATGCAGAAAAACACACAAATTTTAACGTGGAGAAACCCGAAAACGGGAAAAACCTATAGAGCAACAACACACAAAAAATTCCATTATGAAAATGAGAAATTTGCGGAATTAAACACTTACACAACTCTCACAGTTCCTCTCTACATTCCTGGAACTTGCAATTTAAGACGCTCCTTCCTCTCTTGGTAGCACAAGAATTCATAGAAATCCACTCTCAACTCGCAAACACCGCTCCAAGCAACTTCGCACTTGTTACTCGCGCTATCGAGAGAATTTCGAGTCAATATTCATATGGAAACTATAAATACCTAACAAGAGAGAAAACACTCCTAACGTCCAAGCGTCACTCTCGGGTGTTGCCTTTCCACACGCTTGGATTGAAGCCATGTTCTTGGAGCCGTCGCGACCATCTTGGGAGCTAGAATGTCGATTGCTATGTTTTTGGACCTGGAAATGAGTGACTCACGGCGCAACTGTGCCCTAAATGGGCGTTGGACTTCCCAGTACTGGGTTGGTCCTATGGCACCAGGGCACCACTTATGGGCATAGAAGATCCAAATCCTCTGGACTGGGGTGCAAGGGAGCCACAATGGGCACTAGGGCACCCCTTAAAGGGCATTAGACAGTTGGAATGCCCGCCGCAATCAGACTCCACAAACAATAACATATAGTTCACAGATTTGTGATAGCAAAAGAACTAATATAATTATCTTGGTCTCACAAGAGAATTCATTGAAATCCACTCTCGACTCAAGAACACCACTCCACGCAACTTCACACTTGTTACGCACACTGCCGAGAAAACTTCGAGTTAGAATTCATATGAAAACTAAGGCTTAAATCCCTACTAACTAAAGAGAAAAAGCTCCTCGCATCGAAGCGCCACTCCTGGGCGCTGCCTTTCCGCAAGCTTGTATTGAAGCCACATTTCAGAAGCTCACGCCTCTCCTGGGAGCTTGAATGTCGATTGCTCTGTTTCTTGACCTAGAAACGAGTGACTCACAATGCAACTACACCCTCAATCGGTGTTGGGCTACCCAGTGTTGGGCTCCTCCTATGGCATCTGGGCGCAAAAGCACCAAATCCTTTGAACTGGGGTGCAAGAGAGCCACAATAGGCACTATGGCAACCCTTAAGGGGCGTTGAATTGTTGGAATGCCCACATCAATCAAACTCCACATGCAATAACATATAGCTCACGCATTTGTGATAGCAGAAGAACCAATGTAATTTTCTCAAAATTTGCACTATTTTAAATACAAAATAAATATCAACAAAATTTTATAAATAAAATAGTAATTACCATAATAAACACAAAAGTCAATAATGACAACACACTAAAAAAACCTATTGAGTTGATACAATTTTCTCTGGATTATTTTTAGCACATCAGTTCAGAAAACCAGAGCAAATGTTTTCTCAAGCAAGAGGGTCAACATCTTCGATGAATTACATATGAAGGCATACCCTATGAACTATGCTCCAAACATGCCATCAAGATTGATAATATAGTTAAACATCATGGGGCCATTTGTTGTCTGACATACCATACAAAAGCACATAAAATGCAGAAACAAACAAAAAAATTATTCAATTATCAGAATTCGATAAGATGTTTACAGATAACATTAAACAATTAAAAAATCTAAACTAATACAAAATAAGCAATTCATAAATAAAAAATGATACAAAACAAGTACCGGATCATTTGCTCGAAAAGAATTTGGCAAGCTTCCATCTGCAGTACCAGTGCTCATTTTCTCTGGTTGGTTAAGATGAGGATTTGAACCAAGTGATTGCTGATTTGACATAGCAAGCTGTTGTAATTGCTGGTTCTGTTGGCCCCCACTCTGCTGCTGCTGTTGTAGCTGAGCTATCTTCTACTACACAAAATAAATGGTAAGAAGGTTGATGGCACACACATAAAGGATATACATTCAATTATTAACATAAAGCTACCAGATACTCCAATTAAAAGTCCAATGAGATTATGCACCTAGAATTATAAAGTCCATTTAATTTGCTATATTCCATACGACCTTTCTTCCTATGTATTTACATATCCAACACCTAAATATTACTTCTTACACTTGTACCATCCAAATCATTCATGGATCACACAAAAAATGCCACTACTTTAACTTTTAGAAAATGAAAGAGAGATTTTCATGCATATGCAAGGTGGCATATATGTAAAAATTGAAGTTTAGATGTTAGATATGTAAATAAATAAAAATAGAGTGATATGCATGTAAATCTTACAATAAAAAATTGTGACAGTTCAAATAGTTAGGAGCACCTGATACCAAGCCAGAACCTTTCAAATGGAAGGAAAAACCTTTACAAACTATGAAATTCTATCAGATGCAGACGGAAAGCAGAGATATTAATTCAGATAACAGTACAAGATCATGATGGAAAAGATGAAAAGTTTGTTTTATTTAGGTGGTATATAAAAGATTTTATTGGCCAGATAATGATACTGGAATTAAGCTCTCAAGAAACCAATTTGGAATTATAATCCAAGAAATGTATCGCATCCATGGGAAACTTGAATGGAATGCAGTTGGATGATAAGTAAACAAACGTAAGATTGATTCTATCAGAAGTATCTTTCATTCTCTTAACAGCAACCGTGCATGACCATGAGGAAAGACTATTTATGAACAATGTTGCATGTTAAATAACTGTAAAGAAAAGACAATCTGGCTATCATGAGAACAATTTTAGCAAGAAGAGGTGCAGTCCATATGCGATTGATGAAAAAGAACATATTGTATTTTATAAATGGTTCAAAAATTAATTATTTCAATGACTGCCTAACCTATCTGATATTAGATACAAAGACTAGGCCATTAACATTTACAAACAAAACCCTTTTCAATCCATCCAATCACATACTCGATTTATTATGTTGACTATATATATATATATATATATATATATAGCAGATGGCGTAGTCTTCCTTCCCGCATGGCTTGCGCTCTATTCCTTTCGTCTTCTCTGGCTTTGAGACGTTACGGCTTCGCTCACGTGCTCGATTCTATTTGTCTTCCCCGCTTATTCTTTGAGTCTGAGACGCGTCTCGCGCTCTGAGGCTCCTCTGCGGAACGTCCCGCGTCTCTGCGGCTCGTCTCAGGTCTTTCCTCTACGGCTCCCTCTCGCAGGTGCTCTCCTCTGCAGCTTCTCTGCGCTCATAGCGTTCTCTCTTCTTTCTTTCAAAGCTTTCGATGGCTTCGGACAGATCGTATGCAGCTGCCCTTGCGGGTGTCCAAGCCTCAGGCACACCTAAATCGCCATCTTTCCCTTTTTCATTTGAGTGGGCGGAGGACATCAAGAAACCTGTTATGAAGAATGGGAAGCTTGCCATATTTTTTACAGAAGCTGAAGGTATTCAATTTGCTTTCTCTTATCATCTGAATTTGGTTGAGAAATTTCTATATGATTAGAAGAATGGGAAGCTTGCCATATTTTTTACAGAAGCTGAAGGTATTCAATTTGCTTCCTCTTGTCATCTGAATTTGGTTGAGAAATTTCTATATGATTATCCCAAAATGGAGCTCATTCGCAAAAAACTTGAACTTGTGCACCTTGTTGGAGAGTGAAAAATTGGACTATTAGATGGGAGACACATTTTTATTCAAATTAATAATGAAGATGATTACATGCGCTTATTTGCTAGAAGGATATCATGGATTGATAACAGAGCAATGAAGATTCTGAAATGACAAATTTTGACCCACAAACGGAACCACCAATCATTCCTTTACGAATTTTGACCCACAAACGGAACCACCAATCATTCCAATCTGGCTTATGAAAAAAGTATTGTACTTTATTGCCTTAGCTTATGGAAAGTCACTCAAGACAGACATTCCTACTTTTAATCTTTCTCGTCCATCTGAAGCCAGAATACTTATTGAATACTTGTTGAACTAGATATCACAACACCCGCTTCTGAGGAAATCTAGTTGGGCACACAAGACCAAGGATATTGGCAGAAGGTAGAAATTAAGCCTTTTCCGCCGTATTGTTCGAACTGTCGTATTTTCGGACACTCTAGTTCTCAATGTCATCATCTACACCCCACCTCGAACCAAAAAAACAAATTGTTCCGCTAGAGACTGTGATTCCATCTCCTCCGGATCAGCTCCAAGTTTTTGACACTATTAATCATCTGAAGGATACTCTGGAAGACGTCACTTTCCCCGCAGGCAATATGTCAACCATTCAGTCCCCACTTGTAGCTCCCCCGTCTTTGGAACCGGAACCTCTGGGGGAAAGAAAGATTCTCCAGACCCCGCCTGCCTTAGAACCTATCACCAATAATACAGGTGGAAATACTTCTACTGTTTCACTACTGTCTCATCAGGTCCAAAAAGATGTTCGTATTACTCAGGCTCATGGGGATCATGATGTGCAACGACCTACAACTATCCGACCACCTTCGGAATCTACTGATCAAATGAGTCAATCATCAGATGGGGAATTACAGGTCTACACATCCAGGAGAAAGAAAAAAATGAAAATCTACTTGAGCTAATGAATCTGATGGGGAATTACAGGTCTACACATCCAGGAGAAAGAGGAAAAATGAAAATCTACTTGAGCTAATGAATCTGATGGATGATACTTTGGTTACTACGGGCAATGGTACTCACTTTACAATTTGTTAGTCGACTCACATCCGCGAACTAGAGGCAGGAAGACTAAAGTGGGATGTCCCTAGCACTTTTGTGTCCTTTTGTGGCTTTTATTTTTTTTCCTTTATGTATTTTTGCTTTATTTGAGTTTTGTGTGTGTTGTTTTGTATGAGTTAGGTTTTCTTTTAGGCCCTCTCATGCAACACCCTCTCATGCAACATTCTCATGCAACATTTCTGTATCTTTTCCGTATTAATATATTTACCCTTCGGGTTTTAAATATAGATAGATAGATAGATAGATAGAGACTTACTCACTCAATCCAATGTAAGCAATCAAGTTTTGGGCCATTTTCTCATTATCAATAAGTTATGCTAAAACTAAACAATCTTCCAATCAATCAGAAAAAGATCATCCAAAATTTAACAAAATCCATCAAATAAAAATGATGAAAAGGTTAATAATTGGGCCCCCCTTCAAGAGCCCTTGCTATTTAACTCTTAAATTTTACGTGATTGCATTTATGGAGTTCAAGTTTCGTTATTACTACTAAGCTTTATTCTTTAATCAATGTAATTTTCAATAAACATAGTAGAAAAGACAAATATTTCCAATATGTTTATGTTGATCATGAATAATAACCTCATTTAACTTCAACCAAAATAGTGGCTAACAATTCAGCGCTTCTAATGTACATTTAGCGAAAGACATTGAATTTAAATGATTTAAAAGAAAATTGAAGAATCCACATGTTGAAAACACATTGATAGAGGACACCATGGGAATGCAAGACGAAGGACGGATGCGAGTGAAGGAAGCGATGTGGGCTTCCCCCACAGGGCATCCTGTGATCTTGCTTATGCGGGAACGCAGAATTTCGCGAATTCACGCAATCCCGCAAACATGATGGACGGGATTTTGTCCTAGTTTGTACTGAAAACAAGATATATTGTCTACTGTTGAAGTCAGTCCTTGTGGAGCCTAAATTTCGAATATTTCTAAATTAGAATTAAGGATTTTTTTTTCTTGAGAAATTATTCATATATTATTCTTTTATGGTTTAAGAGATTTGTTGAGTATGGAAACTATTTTCGTAGCGTACCTACCACATACCTAGCATAGCTACATTGGGCGACAAATTACAACGCAAATAAGCATAGCTACACCGGTGTTTTGCTCGTTTCATGAGCTTTACGACACTCCTAGGTGTATCTACGTCGCTGAGACTTTTTCTCTTGTTCAGTTCTTAAATCATCGATTCAGCGCGACAGAGGACTTTTATGCGCACACCGTGATCTCAAAGGGCATTCAACGAGAGCAAGGAAGTTCTCGAAGAGGATTTTAGAGCTTGCAATTTCTGTTGTGCGATCAAGTGAAGATTTGGAGCGAAGTTCTATAAGTTTCAGTGATAGTAGAATGAAGATTTTAGTATTATAATTTTTGTATATTTCTCCCATACAAAATGAAATTTTAGTGTGGTATAGTTCCGTGGAATTTTTTCTCATTCTCAGGCTTTTCCACGTAAATCTTAATGAGCTTTTCTGAGATTACTTCGTTATGCATTTCAAATCGAATTTTTTTTTCCGAATTTCTCGAGTTGGTGCAATCCTTTTTTTTTTAGGTGTGCTAATGATTATTAATTGAGCGAAATCTTCAGTAGTATAATTCATCCCAACAATATCAGAGCAGGGTTTTATTTTCTGAAGACTTGAATCGAGTGTGATCAATGATCAAAGAAGCGAGGTACAAAGTGAAGAAGTTCAATGGATCGAACTTTATATTTCGAAGAATACAAGTGTAAGATTTGGTTTACCAAAAGAAATTGTATCCGTCGTTACAAGGAATCACCAAGAAGCTTGAAATTATGACTCTGAAAGAATGAAAAGTGTTGGATCGAACGACTAAGATTTAATTCATCTTTTACTTTCCTTGTTTGTTGTGTTCAATTAAGTGAATAAAAAAGCCACGGGGAATCTCATGCTGACTAATACGCCTAAAAATGTACAATTTTTAATGCTTTATTTTATAATGATATTGCACTTGATATTGCACTTATTGCACTTTAAAAGTATGTTTCTTGCGTTTTTTTATTGTAGGTACATCAAATTGAAAATTTTGGAATGATTGGAGCAAAAGGAACAAAAATGGGCCAAAACAGAGCAAACCGAACCAAATCAGGTCAAATCGTGGCACACCGGAGCCATGGGGACCTAAAACAGACACTTAAGTGCCCGTAC